GCTTTAATTTTCTCGTTTTATCTTTTGGCGAAATTCAATCGTTCTTCTTAGTAAGGTAAAATTCTTATTATCAGTTGTATATCACTTCCAATATTTCGTAATACAAAGAAATTTTACTGGAAATAGTTTATATATCTGTTTAATCAGTTTTAAAACTATTATTATTATATAAATCACTATGTAATAACAATCGAAGAAGGTGAAAAAACCCAGTTGGGTAATCCGAGATTCTTCTAAGAGGCTGTTCCTTTATATTCTTGAATATCCAACTGGTGTTCGGCGACCATGATACAAGAATCTGCTTCTAAAGATGAAACTGAACTTTTACCATTAAAGAGGAATTCTTTAGATGAATTGAGCTTGCCTGTTGTGCACTGTACATCTGGTGTTATCCCCACTTGATCTATGTCGTGAAGAGCAGGCGACAGGTACTTCGCCACCGTAATAAAAAGAGCAGATCCGTCGTGTAACTCCGTGACACTCTGCACCAAACATTGAAATTTACAGACCGGGAACAACATGAGCTTCGTACGATTAATTTTAGACCCACCCTCAATTAGTTTCTATGTCTTATGTTCTTTGATATTCTATTTCCTTAAATGATTTAGTTAATTTTATACAGCGACCACCATGGTCCTGAACTAGATGATCACAGTCTTCATTACACAATGAGAAATGACAGAGGAGGGAAGAAACTTCCTTGCTTTTTTGGTGATGAATGAAAGTACCTGAATTTTTCCTTTCCCAAAAGTCTTGTGACCCACAAGGACAGCTCGGCCGTTGTCATGTAGAGCACCTGCCAAAATCTCACTTGCACTTGCGCTTCCTTCGTTGACCTATTGGCAGCAAAAGGGAAATCCATTTTATCAGCGCTTCCTTCATTGACCACCAGGGAGAATGCAGCTAAGAGATTGGAAAGTTTGAAACCTATTTTTATCAGAAAGCGGCCATAGAAATATTATTGGCTTGAAGGAAATTAAGTGCAATGATTGTGCTAAGCAGCTTTATAGGACAGTAGCACAAATCTTTAGGCAATTACTAATAAGTCTGTATACGCTTACAAGCACAACAAGAGGGTCGTGTGTTATTGCATGACCATCGACCATGTTGATGGGTAACATATTCCCATCACGGTCAATTGTATGCACGAGAGTCTCATCCCCATCTAGCCATATTTGGGCAACATCAAGTCCTGCTGCAACTAATCCTCCCTGTAAAAACAGCCGTAAGAAAAAAATTCATGGCGAGCTTATGAACGTGTGTGCGCAAAAATTGAATTAGGTAATTACTGGATTGTTTCTCAAATCTAGAATGTAAGAGTGTACGCCCTGATTTTCCATTTCGTGAATCGTATTTATCATATCAGCAGCAGCAGTCTGTTAGCACCAGAAGAAAAAGGTTTTAATGCTCAAAAGTTTCGTGCAAAATCGTACTAGCTATGCAGCAGCATCTTTAACGTTGCTTCAAGTTCTGGAATTATTACCTGAGAAAATGATGCTAGCTTCACATAACCAGTCTTTGTTACACGGCCATCTGGCATTCTGTGAGGGATGACAGCACTAGATAACGGGGAAAGCTTAATGTACTCGCGAGATAGCTTGACCTTCGAGTTATGAAACATATTTGATAAGTTTGTTTAAATGATGACATGAAATATAAAATAGCATGAAGAACATATGATGGATGTGAAAATCTTTTTCCCCTGAGATTCTTAATACAACCAGTTTTATTTTCAGGTAAAAACACAATTTCTTGCTCCTACACTGAATTTTTCATTACCTCTCTAATACTCGAATCTCTTCCTGAATCATTTTCCTGCACGGCAAAGCAATAGAAATAGTTAATAAGCAATTTCTGATTAGTGAGAGCATCAGGATTGTAGCCTCTCATGCCACGACCTAAGAAAATGGACAAGACTACACTCTCTAAAGATATATGGTTTAGAGCATAGTTGTATGAGTCAAGTTTACATGTTCCTTTATAGACAACTAACTACTCTAGTTTCAACTGAAAAAGAATCTACAGAAGTGATGTGCCTATACTGCACAGCAACTTTCACTTGCTTAAATTAAGATGGATGGTTGGACTTGATTTGGTGAAGGTGGACAATGGAAGACAGAAAACTGACATGAAACCATGGAAGAATCTATATTGGAGCACAATCAGGAAAGTTCTAGTTTAGTTGCTTATATGTGCAAGAGAATCAAAATGGAATGGTTCTCTTCTGATCATGGTATTAAAAAATAGAAAAGAAGTGAAAAAAAAGGAAGTTTTGGAAATTACAGAGTGAAGTTTTACTGTAACAGATGTTCCAACACGCCCTCTAAGCTTCTGTGCTGCTGCTTCACTACCAACACCATTGAGGGTCTCACCTGAAGTCCCAAGAATAGCATTTCGAATTCAACAGAATAAAAGTAAAGAACAAAGACTGAAATATTAAAGATTAAAGATTTTCCTGTCACGAACAATGCCTACAATAGTGAAAAATTCTTCCAAATCTTTCTTATTCTCTTCTAATAATCAAAGAAAAAGTTCTATTTCAAAAGCAAAGGAGAACATAATTTTATGGTGAACTTTTCGCGTAAAAGAATGGCTTGAATAGACTTGAATAAATAAATCAATGGAGGGTGGCTTACGCAGATCATTTTTCACCTGAGACAACGGGGTCCCTAACTCACAGCCATGAAAAACATTCACACTACAGTAAGCCTTAAGGTTTTCTCTGACTTGTTAGAAAAATGGAGCTCCTAAAGAGCTCATTTTAAGAAGCAAGCTTCTGAGGAACAAATTAAAAGATTGAAATTGCTTGGGAAATTAGTAACTCCAATCAATCAGCAATGGATTATGCTGGTAAATATAATGATTATGTATCCTAAAGGACACAGCGAATTTCTAATTGGAATTAGACTCATACTGATTGAAACAATTTTCTATTTTAGTGAATTCAGATGTTAACTATGTGAAACAAATTCCCCCCAATCTTCCCGTGATTCCATAAAGTTTCCATATCATGCTATATTGAAACTAATTTTATAAAACAGGAAATATCAGGTAAAAGTTAGATCACGAATTTGCAGCTTCATGAAGAAGAAATACCATTTATCTCAACCAACTCATCTCCTTCATGAATACCAGCGCGATCGGCAGGGCTACCCTCCACACAGGACATAACAACCTGCAGATTCCAACACAGACAAGAACCCGTAATTTGGAACTCTGATGGTCAATACTTTTTGTAAAAGTTCCAGAGACAAATATGATGAGCAACATCTATTTCTCAGAAATAAATGCCAACCAAGAAAAAAAGGAACTCTATTGAAATTCGTGTAGTTTGAGAAAGAAAATATATTTATATTGTATTATTTCTAAGAATTTTTCAGATTTTATTTTTAAAAGAGTTCCAACTCAATATAGTTCTTTCTTATATCTCTTGTATAAATACACATCGGAAATGAAATCAACACTCACCAAGGGAAGTTGTCCTGGAAACTTATAATTCAGTTAGAACTTAGTACTACCAAAGCACCAAAACTATTTCTTTCTTTTTTCTGACAGCAAAATTGCAATCAGAGTGCCATATGTGATTAATGAAATCTCAGTTAAAAAGTAGTTGCAGTTTCAACTATCCTGACATCTTAGAATTAATTCCAAACAATGAGTTGCAGAGTTATGATTGCTAGGAAGTACAGCTTGTCAGTTGACAAAGACAATACATGCAGAAAATTATTTGTTAGAGGATGATACTAAACGAGCAATGGAGATCTGAAAGGATCCTCCCTCCAATTTGTTGAGCTAAACTTCATATTCTACCCGGTAGGTGAACATACAAGGCCGGGTCAAAAACCAATAAATTGCAAGGACAATAATACCGCAGTAATACCATTTGCTATAGGAATTATTTCAAAACATGAAAGAACTACGTTCGTTAAATTACCAGATGGCCTGTTTTAGGTTCAGTATTTATGAAAAGGCCAACTCCTTGCAAATTGCCATCACTACCAATCCTAAAATTCTGATATTCCTGCAAGCAAACAACATGAAATTAGATGGATTAGAACAAAGTCACTTCCAAAAGAAGTATTTTCAGTCTTAAATGATTCTTTCATATGAACAGTTAGATATTGTCTAAGATACATATTAACAAATATCTCTGGAAACTGGAACAGTTTGCAGCCGCCAGCTTAAATCAATTTTCAATAATGATATGAGCATAACAAAGGAAATTAAGCTGCAAGACCTTTGGACTAATAATCCGAGTAAAGGGATCTCCAAGGGTTGAAAGCATCCCCTTGATTTTGTTGTAGGCGGCATCAGATGACCTTAAGGGGAACATTTCCACCATTGTTTGCTGCAACTTTGAGTCCCAATCTGCAAAACTAAGCCTCTGATAAATGAAGCCAGCAGTAGATCAATAACTATTGATACAATATTCTCATGGCATAATTCTTTTATTTGAATAAATTACACTCCTTTCTTGGATTTCTTCGAACTGGTCACTACGTTAATCAACAAATAAAACTATTTGACTCAACCAGGCCATCTTTAGTGAAAAATTAACTTGCCAGAAAACTAGGTGATTGTTAGTAACCAGGCATACAAAATGACAAGCAACTTATAGGCTGTTTGGAGTTGCTAAAAAGTATGCTTACAGCAATAGGTGTATTAACTACAAAGTTAATCAATTAGTCGTTCACATAAAGGTCCTTATTTTAAGAACAAATATTTATATGAGAAGCTAATAAATATGTGATCATATCAAAAAAAAAATAAATACTCTTAAACCAGTATAGAAAAATAACAAGAAATACTCTTTTCAACTTAAAACTACTTATTAACAGCTAATAAGTAAGCTGCCTATTATATTAGCAAAGAGATAAACTAAAACCTGTGCTCAAAAAACTTGTAAGTAACAAGAGACAGACCCCCCTTAATTCAAGAATAGAATAAGTTCTCTATGATATAATAAATATATACACCAGAGAGGAATGAATCAAGAATAGAAACATTATTGACTGTAAACAGCACCTTGATGATTAAAAGTTGGGTCTATGAATGTTTCTCGAATCAAACCCCAAGCCTCCACAAGAGTTCTTTGCACTGTATTCACCTAACAGAAACAACTCTCATGTCCTCAGCAATCCGAACCAAACATGTTAACTTTAGAAGTAATAGATTCAATTCAAGCAAGCCATCCCCAATAAAGCATATAACAATCAACAGACAAAATTTGGCAAAGCTCAGTATTGAGAAAATAAAAAATAAAACTGAAGCTGATAATCACAACATGAAACGAAACCACAGGAAAAGCAATAATTTGATAGAATCGAAGCACGGAATCACCTCACTAGCGCGGGAAACAGGGAAGGCGACCGTTAGCGACTCGGCGAAAGCGGGAGAGTCGCAGTAGACCGAAGCCAAGGCCGTGGCTGCAGCCGCGCAACCAAGCAAGCCTTTCCTAATCGACTTGATCCAATCATGGCCGTCGGACGGCGGTCTCCTGACCGGCTCTGTTCGAACGGAATGACCATTCGAAGAAGAAGGCAACGAAAAGCAACGTCTCTGGCCCGAACTGCGATTCAAGCACGACAACCGATACGAAGAGAATTGCAGCGAAGTAGGTTTTGATGATTTAGTGGAGACGTGTACTGGGCTGAGCTCGAACTTTGGGGACAGAGCCTCCATTTTCCAAAGCCACAAAATTTGAAGACGAAAAGAAAAAACCGTTAAAACCGAGATGTTTAACGCACCAGATTTTTTTTTTTTAATTAAAAAAAAATAAAATTGAATTGTATTTTTAATTTAATTTTATTATTTTTGCTGATGGCTATTTGCTGTTTGGGAATCTTGTGGGGCCCACTTGAATCTCCATGATATGTGGTGTTGATTACGTTACGTGTGCGAATTGAATTTCTTTTTTTTTTTTTTCTAAGAAGTAAAAAATCTAAATATTTTACAATTAAATCCTAATTTTTTTGGTATAATTTAATATTTATAATTATAAAATTCCCTTAACTCATAATATTTTTGTATAATCGTAAAAAATTCTGATAAAAAAATAACAGAAATTCAAATTTAAAAATTATATTTATTACATCATATTTCGGGTAAATTAAGTAATTTAAAAAATTATTTTTATTTCATTGAAATTGCTTTCAAAATTTAAAATTTGAACAAGTAAATTCTTTAATATAATTTATCCTAAACAAATTCAGCATATACATACATACATACACACATATATATATATATATATATATATATATATATATATATTGTTTAGGGGGTTCATTTATATTTTTGCTTATACATAATTTTTTTGGCCCATTATTCATAATTGGGCCTTAAAATGGGCCGGGAGGGTCGGAGGAAGGCCCACTAAAACTTGTTTAACTTGAAAATTTCAATAGACAAAAAAAAAATTGATTAATTATGAATTCGAATTATGCTTTTATAAATTTTATAAAAATATTTATAAATTTTATATTAAATTTAATTAGTGAACAATAAAATATTTACTTAAAACTATATGTATATATATTAATTCTATACAAAATTTCGTATAAAATTAGAATAATACAAAGTAAATTCTATTAAAATTGACAAAATTGAGACATATTTTCAAGTTCATCGTGTGGAATTTGGTTATGTATTAATTTAGTGTATACCCATCATGGTTTAACTAAGATTAAATTTGGATAAAATTCTAATTAAATCGAATAAGTGTAAACCACTTAATATATATATATATATATATATCTATATGTGTGTCTGTAATATATGTATATTGTATGAATAAGTATTTAGCATGTACTTTTTTTCAAGTACTATATCATGATGATCCATGAGGAGAGAGGAAGAACCTAGTGCATATAATAGAGTAGGGGCTTGGAATCATTGATTCATCACATTTCTTAAATTTAAATGTCCTTTTTAGCATGACAAATTCGATTAAAAAAATTAAAATTTTAATTTATTACATAGTATATTCATTGAGTATACTATATAATAAATTAAAAATTTCATGGAATTTAATTATAATTGTACACTTAATTTACTTAAAAACATATAATTTTAGTGAAAGATAATGAAGATCAATCCCGTATAAAAAATATAAACAACTTATCTGAGTCCTATTTAAATTTTTTTAGAACTCAAAATAAATAGTTTTAGTTGCACGAAAGAAAATTTTTATATAATCTTGAAATTTTTATTTCATATCATATTTGGAGTAGATTAATTATTTGGTATCTAAAAAATTGAATTATATTATAATAATTTGAACCGAACGTAATATAATAATATTTAAATTTTGGGTAAAAATGCTTTTTATCGTCAGATTTTTATTTCGTATCATATTTGGAGTAGGTTGATTATTTGGTATCTAAAAAATTGAATTATATTATAATAATTTGAACCGAACGTAATATAATAATATCTGAATTTTAGGTAAAAGTACTTTTTATCGTCAATCAATAATGTTTGAAATTCTGGGTCGTAAGAAATTTAGCCTTAACGAGTAAATCATAACGAATGTACAACAAAACGAAAAAGCATTAAAACTCAACAAAATTCCAAGTCAATTAATACATTCATGTGAAAGAATATGTAATATTTCCACATTGCATGTGGGGATTTTGAAGAGTTTATCTAAGTGGGGAATGAAATTGGTGGGGGGAGGGGAGGGAGTTGATGTTGACAAATTGAAAGAACATAACAAGGGAAAAAAAGAACATACCTAAATACTTGTTTGCCTAAATCAGGCAAGAACCATTCTACCATCTACGCTTGCATTTATGGGTGGAAATGGAATCATCATAAACCCTAATCAATAAGTTTCAATTCCCCCCCACCCTCAATATTCTAAATTGTACCTTTGTGTCAATTCTATAATTATAGGGTGTGTTTGGATATCATCAAAGCTATACCTACCATTCACAGGGTAGGGATATGCATTAAACTTTTAATCCCAAACATGTCATATAAAGTCACATAAAATTTGTAAATGAGGATTCAACCTGTAATCAAAAGGTATTAAAAAGAGTATGCAAAAGATGTAGGGAAGTAAAGGAACCTTCACTTAAGGCAAAAGCTAGAAGAAAAAACAATACGAGTTATACACCATTATAAAAGAAAAAAAAAAATTACCTAAAGGAAATGCATATTTATTAGGTTAAATTATTAAATCAGTAGTCAAAATTTGACACTTCTTATGATTTAGTTCTCGAAAAAATAAGCTCATCCTTCTGTTTGAACCGGTCCGTATCAATTGCTATTTTGTTTTACAAGCCTTAATTGTAAGAGAAACAGCCGATGAGTTGAATATGCAATTATGATTGTTGTGTATTCTCCCTTATTGAACTAAAAAATCCTACAATTAGTAAAGGAGAAGAGATTTTTTTATACTCACTGCTTAAATTTTGGCTTTAAAAAGAAATGTTAATTATCGTTTGAATTATAGGTTTCAGTTGGAACTCATTAGTCTAATTTAAATTCTACGGCCAAGTCAAAGGAGATTAAAAGTGCACTAGTAAAAACTTGAGGGAGAAAAGAGTAAGCAGAGCTGATGAAGAGCCGACATAGGTGGAGTAATGACATATTTTTTCTTGTTTGTAAATCTGTCTGAATTACGTGTTATCTAACGTATCATTCAACTAATACATATAATAAAACACTATAAATTAATAAATTTGATATATGATATTTAAATTAACGATATTATATTTTATTAATGAGACGAAATAAATCGAAATTTTTTTTAAAATATAAAAATTAATTTAAATAAAAATCAATACAGAATTGATTTTAAAAATATAGTAATAAAAGAGATTATCATTTTTGCCATGGTAGAAGAAACCATGTTTGATCATAGAGAAGATATATACATACATAACTATGTATGTGTGTGGGTGTGTATATATATAGGGTGCTTTATTGGGATGTGAAGACTGCTAGTTAGATGCACCAAACCTAATCAAAGAGAGGATTGAATATGTCGAGA